CTATATCTTATTGCCCCCTCAAGGCAGTTTACGAGGGTTACTTTATTTGAGCATTGTTAACAATAAAGATGTTTTTCTGTTTTCTAATAAAAACATATTTGACGGATGAGGAAAAATAATCTGACAATTTTCAAACTAGAAATATCCCCCGACTATGTGTTTCAATTGTGGAACACACATTCATAATGGACCGGGGAGACCACCAAAGCTTTTCTCCAAATACATCATGTAACTTGAGTTTATGATATGGGGTATCGTATGTGCAGCGGCCATGCACTATCCATTCGGATGAACACACGGTAGAGATGATTAGCGGACCAATGGCTCATCTACACTGTCCGTTGATGACACTAAATGGGTAGAGAAGCCCATCTACGTACCCCATACTACGTACCCCATACCTCATGATATAAGGCGAAGACAAAAATACCTAGCAAAACCTATTGGGTCTGAACTTATCTGGGAAATTGGGCTACTCTCTTGATGATGTCTGATTTAGTTTAGACCACATGCTATTCTCCACTTGATCATGTTCATTAACTCGGGTGAAAGAAAACGATTTAGAAGATTTTTTGGATCTAAAATTTTGGATCCACTCAAGAGTCACTAGATGATGATATTCGGAAAGTAAATTTGGATTTTGAGTCTTTTAATGTTTATATCATTGGTATAAAAACGATGAGGATCTTAAACTTTTCTTTAACCCATCCCAAGCCTGGGTAAAGGAGGTGGTTTGTATTAGGTAGGCACCTAATGTTAGTTTTGCCAAAGCTTTTCATGAATCTGGAATCTACGTTATCTGCTTGCACTAGAGCATTTCCTGTGAGCGATGCAGTGTATCGAAACCTGGGCTTAGTGAGGAATGAGAAAGGGTTAGTTAGGGCATTGAATATAGTAGATTTGCAGACCGGGATTCGTATGGTTGATTTCAAATAGTTAGAAAAAAGTTTTGATGATGATGATGGTAGTCCTCTTGCGGTTAAGAAATTGGACGGTCTGCATTCAACTTTAAGACATTTGAGCGCATTTTCTTTTTTCTCTTTAGTTTTTTTGTTTTGTTTTCAACATTGGTTTCTAATTTAAAGAGGATGCATCCTAAACATTTGAGGTCCTAAAATTACTCCTATAATAAAATTTACTCGAGGGAGGAAAAAGAATAACTGAAGGAGTGCAAAATATCTTATCTGATTTTAAACTAGGGAACAATTTCACTTGGAAAGACATAGTATTGATGAGGTATTTAGCCAAACATGGCCATACAACCATAATAATGCTCAAAGTTATTTTAGGTTGTAGTTTGTGACTTTGTAGTAAAGGCCTCTCAAGTGCATGATGGCCTCTTTGAGCTAAGGGATACTACTGGTGAGATATCTTGTAGGCTATTACCATATTTTACCAACCTTTTCCAACTCAGATCCAAAAGAAATTAATGTCTTTATCACTCTAATCCCTATACACATACATTTGTTTTTTTTGGATGTTATAATCCCTATGCACAGCCAACCGTTCTTTTCCTACATCAATTCATGTGGTCAAAAGTTTTTACATTATTGCAATAAATTAATAGACGCAGCATATGTAAGCTAATTTAGGAGAGCTGACACTGTTTTCTTAACAACCTAAACCTACCTGAACAATCTCAATTTCCTAGATCGGAGCTGGACCCTTGTGGTCTCTCTTTGGTTAAGCTGATTAGGTGACCTATTCACACATAAATTATGTGTGACCTCAATTTTTAGCTATTTGATCTGAATGGACAGTTAAGATTGTTCAGGTCACAATATCAAACCAAATAACTTTTTATTTTAAATTTTTTTCTACAAAAAAGTTGAGTGAAATTTGGGGTGTCCCATCTTCTTATTGAGGTGCCCTAGGCAAAAAAAAATGTTTCTCGTAAAAAGACATGACCAAAATGCCCCTGAAATTTGTAGGGGTATTCTGTTAAATTTTATCAAAGGAAATATTTTTTATTATTTTTATCACATGAGTCCTTATCACATATATGCATGCCCCAGATTTTGCTACAAAATAATTTATAGCATAAATGGTAAAAGTAAAACAATTTGAGACCTTAGATCAGATTTAACATTCATAAATTAAATTGTGATATTGTGACTCAAGATATTTCAGCTATCTACTCATGTTTAAAAGATGAGAGGAGGGATCACATAGATTTTTAATCATTTCCTTTTGGAAATTGGACCCTGGTTTGGTCCCAGGCCAATCCAGATAACACCCCTATTGAGCAATGATCCAATGAAACAGTTGTACATAGTATAATGCAACAACATTTCTAGAAAATCATGTTTGTGGTATTTGTATGACTTCAAATTTTTCACACTCTCTTCATCTCAATAATCAATCCCTCCAAAAAAAAAAGGTCGATTTGAGCCCTAGATAAGGTCAAAATGAGTCCTCTCCAAAATGAATCTAGACCATTTATTTTGTGAATTTCAAGATCTTAGCCTTTATAAATTCAAAATCATTTTTTTATTTTGTAACATTGTTCATCTAATGATAATAAATCCATCCAAAAAAATTGGAAATGAAAAAATCCTTTTAAGGTCTAGATCTAAGCATCTCATCAAAATGAACGGCTTATGTTAATTGGACTAAAAAAATACTTTCTAGGTTGTGTTTTCAATTTTTTATTTGTTTGTGATTGTTTATTAGAATGAAAAGAGTGTAAATTTCAAAATTTTGATCAAACAAATGGACATAAGATGATTTTTGAATGTTGTTGCATTGTATTACTATACAACGGTTGTATGAAATCATTGCTCCAGTACATGGTATCTATTTATATTTATAATTAACCATGATCCGGTCGAGATAACAATCCTTTAAATAATAGTGGTGCCAATAACCTATATAATTTGTAACTAACCATAGTTCCAAATACGTTTACAAGTGTATGGTAAATCCACACGATCCACCATGAAATGGCGGTGGATGCCCTTGTGGAGTACTGTATGACCTTGCAACCCAATTGAATGCAAATTTATCTAAGAAACATAACAAAGAATCAAATTTTGGACTAAGTTGGCATTGGGCCAGGTGGCTCCAGCCCGGCTTGGCCCTAAAAATTAAGAACTTTGGGTCACAAATTGTGGTCTGAGGGCCGCGCTATACTTAACTGCTGGCTAGGGCCGTTTATTCTACCTTTTTCTTTTTTCATTTGTTTTTTGCTTGGCCAGGCCCGGCCCTTATTTTGATCATCTCAAGTGCAATCCCTAACTTCCCCTCCCTGGCCCTTATAATAATTATATATAAAAAAGGAAAATTATTGTAAGCTTCCAAAAATATACTTTCTAGACATTCTACTCTCACCCCAAATTTTTTTCATTTATTTTTCTCAAAAACCATCTTTTCTAACTAATACCTCCCAACTCAAAAAATTACATCTTTTTTTGATGAAAATACCCCTTCATGTACCTTCACTGTACGAACAAATCATTTAGACGAATCCCAATAATACTTTCACCGGAACCAGGTTATTATTTTCCGGACTGCTTATTTAGACAATGATACGTCGGACCGTAGATTACTAACGCCTGACCACCCTACTCTTGTATCTAAAACGTCGGACTGAGAGCATGAAATGCCGGACTTCGTCTCCAATAACAAAATCACTGGAGCGAAGCTTCGTAACGCCGGATTGAGACCATGAAATGCTGGACTTACGTCTCCAGTAACAATATCATTGAAGCGAAGCTCCGTAGCGCCGGACCGCGAGTAAGATATTGCCAAACTGCATTCTCCCAATGCCGGATAGATCGACCCTAACGCCGGAGCGCAGCTGTGCGACTTTGGACTTAACATCATTCCATAACCACATGTCGGACTGCACATTACAAATGCCGGACTGACCCCACTCAAGTAAGTAACTTATCGGAGCGCGACTTCCAATCGCTGGATTGCCCACATTACAGTAAACAACTTGCCAGACCGGGCACATAAATTGCCAAACTAAACGCAAGAAAAAATGGGTAAGTGGAAAAGGAAAAGGGTAAAGTTAAAATGGGAGGGTAATTTTGTCTTTTTTTCTATTTCTTTTAGTTTGGGGGTATTAGTTAGAAAAAATGGTTTTTGAGAAAAATAAATGAAAAAAGTTTAGGGTGGGGGTAGAGTGTCTAGAAAGTATATTTTTAGGGGTTTTTAGCAATTTTCTCTATAAAAAAAAAAGGAAACACCAATGTTATTAGATTCACTTCGGAGTTTTATTTGATTTGATGAGAAATATAAAGTATTCGGTGCTTCAGCCGATTCGGGAAAGACTTCAAAATTTTTAAAAAAATTAGTAAAAATAAATTAGATATTTATACATAAAAATATATAAAAATAATAAAAAAATTTTAAAATATATTTCCCAAAAATACTTTTAATATCTATTTATTTGCTTTTGCCAAAAAGAGCCGAAACTTCAGCCGAATTAGCCCAAAACTGACGGCAGCACCATGCTTCACTTGACTTCGATGTGTGCCTAGAATTCGAGGGCTTCGGCCTCTTCAAGCCAAGCGAATCTAACTATACTGCGAAACACAAAGCCTCACATTCTATATGTTCACAATGGACACTCACGATCAATAAAGAACAAAAAAGAAGAAGAAGGAAACATAATAAAGAGCCTCACATTCTATATGTGCTCAATGGACATTTACAATCAATTTATGTTTTAGCCCTCGAGAAAACAAGCATCTAAAATCCAATCCCATAAAAGAACAGGCGCACTTTCGTCCAAAATCATCTACCTCGTGGGAGTCACTTCCAGTTTCCTGAAATGGAAAGAAAAGCTTTATAAAGATTCACACCAAAACAGAGGGCAAAAGTAGAAGAAGCTTCCCATTCTCACTCTAACACTGCGTTATTCATGCTCCTTACACCAACCGTTTTCAGTTAAAGGCAAAAGTCTTATCAGGCGCATCAACTACTGTAAAAATCATTCGAAATGCAAAATAATTTGGACCATTTAGCTTTAGTAGAAGATGAGCACGCAAAAACAAAGGCAAGAGAGAGACTGCAACTTCCATTAAAGGAACCCTCCTTCTCCCATGACCTAACATTTTTCTTTAAGTGAAAGGTGTTCCGAGAGAAACGGTCATGGAAGAAGATTTGGAGTTCTTTTTGCCAGCGTAGTTTAGTTTCAGATGTGGAATTAAGGTAACCTTGGTTTAGATCAGAGGTTTAATATTGTGACTTTGTGATTTACAGTCATTTTTTGGGTCTTTTAGATGAAAATGGGGAGTGCTATTATGTTTTTTGTGCAGTGTAGAACAGGAGAATCAGTGGTGACATGGTTGTGCACTCTGTTTGGTGAAGGAGGAAGAACATAAATAAGGTAGTCTCTCTCTCTCTCTCCATCTGTTTAACTTGCTTAATAGGAATGCAAATGCATGGTGAAGAATCACTTATTTAATATGCATGCAAATGCTTAGTGAAGAAAGGTAGAAGGTGACATGAAATGTCTATGGCAAGCTGTAGGTTTGAAATTTGAGCACATAAAACTTTGTTTTTTGGAACCTTAACAATTATTTCTTGAGAAGCTAGAGCAGAGAGATGTTCAGGTTATCTAATGACCTAAAATGTATAGTATAGGAAATAGGATGAATAATAGGATGTTCTTGTTAGAGCATATTATACACTTACTCCCTCGGGCTAAAGAGCTGCTTAAGAAAAAAAATTTGTTTTGAAATTGATAACCACCTGAAAATTATTGTGGTTGAAGTAGATTTTGTATTTTTAACGCCAAGATCTAACCAGCCAAAAATTACACTATCCCTATTCAATCTTACAAAGTCATTATGTTAGTGCATTTTTATTTTTTTTATTTTAATTTATAATTTTTTAGTTTTTGGGTTTTTATGTTGAAAAAGTATACAAAGAAACCATTACTTTTAATACAAGGATGTCGCAATTACTATATCCATCAGATTTTTAATCAAGTGGTTATGAGTGTACCATTGATGAGACTCAAATTTCAAAAGAAACTTTCTCAAACTTTGTAACATAACCCAAGCCATCCAATTTGGCATCTAGTGGCTAGTAACAATTGTGACGTATTTGTAACGAAGATAAATGATCTCATAGTATACAATTCTTTTTATTACTGTTCGTACTCAGTTGAGCAGATTACATCGTTAAAATATGTGTCCCATCAAACGCTCTCTATGAGGTTTTACAAGAGGGAGCAATAGTACAATTTACACCCGTAAGAGAATATAATATAAGATCAAACTTGGTGCTCACACAAGAGCAAATTGTACACTTGCTCTCATTTCTAAAGTACTCAAACCTCAAACCTAATGTCTCTAAAGTCTTTTTCGATTTGGTGAGAAAAATGAAGCAATTTAGTGTTTCGGCCGATTTGGGGGGAAGACTTCGGACTTTTTTTAAAACATTTAATATAAATAAATTAGATATTTATATAAATAAATATATAAAAATAATGAAAAATAAAAAATATTTGTATATAGATATTTCTTTGGTTAGTCCAAAGAGGTTGAAGCTTCGGTCGTATCTGCCCAAAGCAAACCTGAATCTCCGGCCCGAATCTGACCAAAGCGGCAGTACCAAGTTTCACTTCACTTCGGTCTAAGCCTAAAATCCAAAAACTTCGGCCGAAGAGAAGTGAATTTGACAACACTGCTCAAGCCCCTTTTCTATAGAAGTGGAGGATGAAGAGCACACCAACTAAACATATGCTAAAACCTGGATGCAAGTTATCCAGGCTAAACCTGGCTTGTGGTCAGAAAGGAGGCACCCAAACAAGAGAAGAGTGCGAAACGGTGGTGTTCAAAATTGAAAAAAGTGCACTTTGAGAATGGGGCTGGGGTCATGGTGGAAGTACCACCGTGCCCAAACTTTTATTCTCACTAATGCATTCGAAAAATCTAACTATTTCTAAAACGAGTAGCGCTTATAATCTTCACTGATCTACCTAAAAAAAATCACTCTTTTTAACAAATGCAATGCAATAAATGTATATAATTGAAGCTAGGTACGTAATCAACCAAAAGAGGCCTTGCCTCAAATTTTATGTGTATATAAACCTTTGAAACACATAAGCAAACACACACGAATTTGTATAACACCGGATGAGACGTGAGGACTTGGAATTTTGGATTTAGAAAAATTAACACCATTTTCCATTGATAACAGGCTTAAATGAAGCTCTCGAAAGAATCATCCTTCTTCCACATGGGGAGGCACCTCCTTCCCTTCTTCCTTATCACTTTTGGAATGGTGATGGGGGTCCTATTAAGTCTCCACACTTCAACACCCTACACTGTTCATCTAATACCCCACTACTCTTCCAATCCCATTGCAGTATCCAAGAATCCAGTTCCTCCTCCAACCTATCCCAAAGTAGAAGAAGTGGCAAAACCGACGGATGCGATGCACAACATGACGGACGAGGAGCTGATGTGGCAAGCATCCATGGTGTCACACGTTCGGCAGTATCCATATTCACGTGTACCGAAGGTGGCATTCATGTACCTGACAAGAGGTCCCATGCCATTAGGGCCTCTTTGGGAGAGGTTCTTCAAGGGGCACAATGGTCTCTATTCCATCTATGTTCATTGTCCACCTTCCTATACTGTTGAGGCACCACCTGATTCTGTGTTTTTCAGGCGAAAAGTACCTAGCAAAGTAAGTTTTATTGTTCAAATCTTTGAAATTTGTCCCAAAAATCTCAAACAAGATGACTTAGCCTTTTTCTTGGGACATGTTAACGGTCAGAATGGAGGGTGGGACTTTATGTTGAGCCTTTTGTCCCCCTAACCGCCCAGGCCCTAATCCATTCTCAGTGTACTTGGCCTATTTTTAAATCTATGGGACGTCTAACTTCGTTTCAGGTTGTAGAATGGGGAAGGGCGACAATGATCGATGCAGAGCGCCGACTCCTAGCCAACGCCCTCCTCGACTTCTCAAATGAGCGGTTTGTGCTCCTCTCAGAGTCATGCATCCCCCTCTTCAACTTCACCACTGCCTATTCCTACCTCATCAACTCTCACCATTCCTTCGTGGGATCCTTCGATGACCCTAGGCATTGTGGCAGGGGCCGCTATAACAAAACCATGGCTCCCGAAATTCTCCTCTCCGAATGGCGCAAGGGCTCCCAATGGTTCGAGGTGAACCGTGCACTGGCCATAGAGATAGTGTCTGATACAAAGTACTACGCCATATTTAGAGAGCATTGTAACCCACCTTGCTACATGGATGAGCACTACTTGCCTACTTTTGTGACAAAGAATTTCCCATCGAGCAATTCGAACCGGAGCTTCATGTGGGTCGACTGGTCGAGGGGTGGGTCGCACCCGGCAACATTCAGAAGTGGGGATGCCACTGAGAGGTTCCTAAATCAGATTCGAAATAGTGAGAATTGCACATATAATGGGAACCCAACTTCTATTTGCTTTCTCTTTGCAAGGAAGTGGGCTCCCAACGCGCTCCAGCCATTGCTCCGGATAGCCCCAAGGGTTCTAGGTCTTCCTCTGTAAGGTTGCCCTTTGAGAAATGGATGTTGTTTTGTCAAAATCTTTCCATTAAAGGGGTTTATTCTGATAATTTTTTTGTCTGAACAAATATATGCCATTTTCTGCATAAGACCTTAAGACTTGTTACATGATGTTTCCTTGTTGCTCATGAAGCCATACACCCTGGTGATTCAAAGCCACCTAACCACTTAAGTGGCCGCTGCGGAATCTATGCAACAGGGACACACATTATGTTTCCTTTTTGCTATGAAGTTATATGCCCTGGTGATTCAGAGCCAGCTAACCACTTAAGCAGCAGAATCTATGTAATATGGATACACTTGCTCATGAAGCCATATGCCCTGGTGATTCAAAGCCACCAAACCACTTAAGAGGCAGTGGCGGAATCTATGTAATATGGACACACATGATGTTTCCAGTTTTCTCATGAAGCCAAATACCTTGCTGATTCAAAGCCACCTAACTACTTAAGCGGCCGCTGCGGAATCGATGTAACATGGACACACATTTTCTGCATAAGAACTTAAAAAGACTAGTTACATGGTGTTTCCTTGTTGCTCATAAAGCCATATACCCTGGTGACTCGAAGCCACCTAATCACTTAAGCTGCCGCTGCGGAATCTATGTAGCATGGACACATGTTTACAATGACACATATCTAAGACACTTACTCTTAAGATTTTTCTCTATAACCTCATTATAAAAATACTTAATATCACCTGAAATCCCTCCTCGATGTGACATACTATTTTTCTTTATTGAATTCAGGGGCCAAAAGAATTAAACTAGAACCATTCATTTCTTTTAGGGAAAATTACGCATTATCCCTTTCAATTTACATAATTTGAATTATACCTAAATATTTTCCATTATTACATACGTACGTATTTGGTTTGTAATTTTTTTAAAATGATCAATAGCCCATAATTCAATATCCAAAATTGATCAATTTTAAAACTTAGTGATTTGTTGGCAATTTTCTACCACATGCATTTTTTTATTTTCAAAATCCAAAATTTAAAGTTTTTGAGAATTTTAAATATCTAAAAATGCTCTTGGCCCTAAGCCTCATAGGGCCAAGAGTATTTTTGGATTTTCAAATTTTGAATTTTTTTTAGTATTTGGGTTTTAAAATTTTGAAAATGGTCACATAATTTTTTTAAGAGCAATTTCAGATTTTTCAGAAATCCAAAAATTAAAATTTTCGGATTTTCAAAGTCCAAAATGCTTCTAGGTCTGGAGAAGATTTGCTAACAAATTGGGCAAATAAACTTTCAGATTCTGAAGATCCGAAATTTCCAAATAATTTTTCGACTAGGAAAATTTGAAAAAAGGGCAATTTCTAAAATAAATAAATAAATAAGGGTATGAATATAATTTTGAACTTCGGATGGGACTCTTATAATAAGGAAAATATTAGGGTACATGCGCGTAGTTTATTCTTTCTTTCATGATAGATTGCCCGGAAGAGTAATCGTTGTAAAAAGCAAGGTTTATTAGTGATTTCATGGACCCCATTAGACATTTATAAAGGACAGTTGATGGGCTTCAATCACTCTGCGCAAACAATCCAAATGAGAATTGCTAAGCTAAATTGCTCTTTTCCCTTGTGCATTATAATTTATTGGAAAAGTTTTATATAAGGTTGAGGCCCTAGACAGTCAACTAAGGCGCACCTCAAATATTCATTAGAAAAAGTGGTTTCGATAGCCAAAAATCGTCAAATCCGATCATCTCGACCTTAAGATATATGGACGTAAAAAAAATGGATTTCAAGTCTTCGAAATAATGTATCTTGTAATACATAATCTAGATGGTCAATTTTCAATGTTTTCAAGCGTTCATAGATTTACTTTGATCTATACAATTTTTCAAGATTTAAAGTTTATAATTAGGAAAAAGTTTATATAAAGTTGCAACCTTAAAACGTAGAATTAAAGATGCACCTTAAAAATCAGGAAAAAGTTATTTTAATGTTGAAAAACCTTTTAATTGATCATCTTAATGTCGAGATGTATAAATATGGGAAAAAAAAAAGGATTTTGAGTCCTATAAATAATGCATCTTACAACACATTATTTAGACCATCTATTTTCAAGATTTTTATATATTTATATTTTTGGAGTTTAAAATTTTATGATTAAATATAAAAATAGATTTTGAGATACTCCTAATAAATTTTCACCACATGTGATAAAATTTGGAGTAAGCCTTAAGGTTGCAACAGCACCCTTTTTAATTAAAGAATTTTCAGGCCATCATAAAATTTTTAAATCTACTTAGATTGTTTAGGGCCTCAGCCTCATACAAAGCACAAGCTAATTTATTGTTGCCCCTCACTTTGTTGACAGTGAGAGCATATGCATAGGCCTTGATGCTGGGGCATGCGTTCCACCGCCACCACCACCACCACCACCCTCTAAAACTCTCAATCCCACCGAAGATCAGCACCCAAGACGCATCACCATGGCTGCCCCCGGCGCCTCTCCTCTCCAAGTACCCAACCCTACAACACCTCCACTCCTGCACCACCATGCACCACCTCCGCCAACTCCACGCCCACACCCTCGTCTCTGGCTCTATACACGACAACTTCGTCGCCTCCCGCCTCCTCTCCTTTACTGCCCTCTCTCTCTCCGGCGACCTCCCTTACGCCCGCCTCCTCTTCCGCTCGCTTCCGTATCCTGACACCTTCATGGCCAACACCCTCATCAGATCATACACCTCTGTTTACGGTGCACCACTACAAGCCCTCGAATTCTATGTTCTTGTCTTGAGCTCCGGCATTAATCCAGACATCCATACACTACCCCTCGTCCTTAGAGCCTGCTCGGATGCAGGAGCCCTCTCACTCGGTTCCGCACTCCACGCATATGTGATCAAGCGGGGGTGGACTAATTACTCCAATGTCACGAACTTTGTTGTTAAGATGTACTCTGAGTGTGGCTCGATCGAGCTCGCGCGGAGAGTGTTTGATGAAATGCTCCAACTAGACGACGCCTCATGGAATGTGATGCTTGGGGGTTACGCAAATAATGGGATGTTAGAGGAGGCACAGGGCTTCTTCGAGCAGATGCCGGAGCATGATGTCATCTCATGGAGCGTGATGATCACGGGTCTTTGTCGCCAGAGTAAATTTCGAGAAGCACTCATGTTGTTTCGTGATATGTTAGAAATGGGTATTTCACCAAACGAGAGTGTTACAGTGAATGTGCTCTCTGCGTGTGCGTACTTGGGGGCGCTGGACCAGGGGAAATGGCTCCATGCATACGATGAGAGAAAGCGTGCGAGCCTGACGGTGAAGACTGGCACCGCTCTGATAGATATGTACGCAAAGTGCGGGTGTATCGATGAAGCTTTGAAAGTGTTTCATGGAATGAAGGAGAGGAATGTCTTGGCTTGGAGCGCAATGATCGTGGGGTTAGCAGCAAATGGCCGACCTGATGATGCGCTCGGGCTCTTCTCTCTAATGGAAGACTCATGTGTTAAGCCAAACGATGTAACCTTCATTGGGGTGCTTAGTGCTTGTAGCCATGCGGGCTTGGTGAGCCAGGGGTGTGACTACTTCCGCTCGATGAGAGAGGTTCATGGGATCGAACCCACTGTTCATCACCATTGTTGCATGGTAGACCTATACGGCCGAGTTGGTCTATTAGAAGAAGCTCTCGAATTGATCCAAAGCATGCCCATCGAGCCCAATTCTGCGATTTGGGGGGCACTGCTAAGCGCCTGTAAACTTCATGGAAATTTGAAGTTAGGGGAGATGGTGGGGAAGAAGCTCATTGATTTGGAGCCGAATCATGGAGGTCGGTACGTCCTCCTATCGAACATATATGCAGCTGCTGAGAGGTGGGAGGAGGTCGCGGAGATGAGGAGGCTGATGAGAGAGAGGGGCGTGAGAAAAACTCCAGGGTGTAGTTTCATAGACGTAGGAGGAAAGGTGCATGAGTTTGTAGCAGGAGATAATTCTCACCCTCAAAGCAAGAGGATCTATTTGATGTTGGGTGAGATGGGTGAGAGGCTAAGGTTAGCTGGTTATGAACCCAACAAGGGTCAGGTCTTGCTTGATATGGATGAGGAGGAGAAGGAGATTGCTCTTGGCCATCACAGTGAGAAGCTGGCAATAGCATTTGGGTTCATTAACAGTGAACCAGGCACACCGATAAGAATCACGAAGAACCTTCGGGTGTGTGAAGATTGCCATTTCGCCACGAAGTTATTGTCGAAAACCTATGGTCGAGAAATCATCGTGAGGGATCGGAGTCGATTCCATCATTTCAAGGATGGTTCATGTTCTTGCAAGGACTTCTGGTGAATCCTTTGAATGGGGTTGCTGTTAATGGATCAAAGCTTTTTGATCCCTGTTTAGTTTGTATATGAACTATGATTGTACTGAACTTATGAAATTGCTTGCCAAAGGGGAAAGAAAGTATTTTTTGTTAATGGTAAAAAAAAAAAAGGTATTGATCTCAAATTAGAGGCGAGAATGCATCTTTCGATCATTTTGGGATACAATGATTTCTCTTCATTCTTTGCTTCTTTTGAGGAACAAAATTGGGTTAATTTCTCATAATCCCTGATGTTATCCTCACTCTGACTATTCCAAATATTTGGGCGACATGCTACCTTCTACCTAGTACTACTTCCATAGGAATGGAACTGTTGTGGCACCCACCCTCCTAACCTCATGTGCTTTAAGTCCAATTCCCTGTAATTGCCTTCACCTGGTGTTTGAGAGGTTCCAGCTTTATTATTTCTTAATTATCCCTCTAAGAGATTCAGGCTTGGTTCATTAAAATGGTATATATGATTATCGGACGTTGATTTAACCTCTCTTCAAGAAAAGTTTCTATTTTCTAAATTATTTGGTCCCAATTGTGTTAGGACTTTTCTCTCTAAAATTCTAAATGATGGTCATAAAGCCAAAACCACACCTACTGGTTATTAAGGCTGGTAATGGTCTGGGCAGCCCGGCCTTGCCCCTAAAAATTAGGGCATGGGCCTCAAACTATGGCCCATGGGACGGGCATGGGTCAGTGCACACCCGGCCCGGCCTGGCCCAGCCCAGCCCAGCCCCCTTTTTCTTTTTTGTAATTAGCTCAGTCTAGCCGCCCGGCCCTGCCCCTATTAGGGATAAGATGGGCCCAGTATGGTGATAAGGGCCTAACTAGGGCCAAGGCTGGCCCAACTCAGGGGTATTTTAGTCAAGGAAAATTGTTTCATGTGGGCTGGACCTTTTTTTTACGTATGTGGTCTAGAAAGTATGTATAAAGGGTGTTCCATTTAAAACCAAAGTATGTATAAAGGGTGTTCCATTTAAAACCAAATGTTTTTTTACTATAATTATTATTTCTAGTTTTTAAATTTTATTTATTTTTTCATATTCATGATCTCTATATTAGAGATTACAAATCCAAAAAAATGAAGTCTTAAAATCTATCTCAAAAATAGATTTATTAAGAGACCCGCATTTTTACATATTCGGGTTTGGCCGCATAGCAATTAGGTCCTTTAGTAAATTTAACCCTATAGAGGCCCCAACCAAAGGACAAAATGGGCCCTTTATTGTTCTTTATTTCCACGCAGAACATATTGTTTTGAGGGGTTACTTTTTATTTTTCATTTGAATTAGGTACCCTCCTCAAAAAAAATAAAAAAAATCCCAAACAATCTTAATTTTGTATTGGAATGAAGAATAATGAGAAGAACTTTCATAATTTAACCCCCCAAGGCACCAACCAAATAAGAAAAATGTCATTGATTGTTCCCTATTTCCATATAGAATACACCGTTCAAAAGTAGTAATATGAAACAATTAGGGGTGTTTTTATCGTTAAGCACCCAAATACCTCATAGTATCGAATGACAAAAATATCCCTATTTGCTGTGCATTACTAAACAAATTGCTCTTTATTTGTAAAGAGAAATAATCAATGACATTTTTATTAAAGAAAATATCACCATATCCCTTTATTTTTAGTTTTTATTTCTTGATAAACTCAAGGTTTCAAAAGATAACTTTTAACCCCCTGGCTACTTTAAATCTATTTTTTAACCTAAACATATATGAAAAATACATGTTTTTTTTAAACCCAATCATTTCTCTCTTCACGTATATACTCCAAACTTCTCTCTTTCTCTCTGTTCTTGCGTCTCTCACTCTCTCTCCCCTCCCGTGTTTTTTCAAACACCTCTCTCTCTTCCTAATAATCTCTTAGCTTCATGAAAAATCCTTACGTTCTCCTCACTTATGTACCTCAAACTTCTCTCTTTCTCTCTCTTTTAGGGAGGACAAAGAGTGAGGGGAGAGAAATGGGAAAGATGGAAAGAGAGAGAATGCAGAGAGAGAGAACAAGAGGGAAATTTGGGAGGATGGTTTTTAGAAAAAGCATGTCTTTTTAAATTTGTTTGGCCTAAAAAACAAGTTTAAATTAGCTCAGGGGTGAGAAGAAATAAAATCTATAATTTTTATATCTCAAGATATCTTTTAAAACCTTGGATCTATTGTCAAATGAAACCTAAAAATAAAAAGTATGAAGATATTTTCCCCTTTTATTATTTGGTTGGGGCTTCTTCAGAGTCAAATTACTAAAGTGCCATTTACTCATTATTAAAATGCCCTTTACTCTTTCTCATTTTCAATACAAAATAAGGGTAATTGGGGAATTTCAATTCTTATTTTTTGATAAGTTACCTCTTTGAAATGAAAATGAAAACGAAAAAGTGCCCACTCAAATTGGTTTAATCCCCTTATTTGATATTTTTCCAAGGGCAATTGCCATCCCAACATTCGCAAACTCGGCCGATCCAACTCGTAACCGGCTAGTCAAACTGGAACTAGGCACTAGCCAATCCGGTTTTGACGAGTTTTGGTGGTCAGACCAAATATTTTTAAAAAATAATATATATATATATATATATATATATATATGGGTCGATCTGACGATCATAGATGCCTGGTAGTGTTGGAATTTTATTTTTTTTTCTAATAATCCAAATCACTTGAAATTTTAGGCGTGTGTTCATAAAAAATAAATAAATCTTCGAAAAATATAAAAAATATATTTTATATGAAATAAATTGACCAAAATACCACTGAAATGTTTCAAGGGGTATTTTTGTTATTTTTTTAAATAATTTTTTTTTATATTTTTATTAGGTGCGCCTTGATGAGAAGAACACACACTTAAAATTTCAAGTGATTTAGATTTGTAGAAAAATAAAATTCAAGCACTATCAGACATCCGTGATCATCAGATCGGCTCAGATTTAATCTGGACTATTGAGCTCATATGTCCATGTGAGCTAGTGGGCTAATCCCATTTTTTTCTATATATATATATATATATATTTGACAAAGATTAGAAAGTGGTTTGGATATTAATACTTATTTTTTCAGTTTTCTATCTTTTTTTGGAGAATATTGAAAAATACCCCTGTACACAAATAGATTTTTTTAAAATCCATTTTTTTACTATTGTTCGACTTCATTTGAATGTACTTTGTTTAATCATTCTGTAAATATACTTTTCATTTTCTTTTTGGATTTTTTTTGTATATTTTTTTTACACTTTTTGGACCTCCCAAGGCCTTTCCGGTTAGGTTGGTTGAACTGGCCAATTTACCGATTACTCGGACCCGGCCCTTGGCCGGTTTCCGAAGTGGGTTCGATTTTTCGAACATTGGTCCATCCACTCTAATTTTCTAAATTTTAAGATCTAAAATTCAACTCGAATCACTGTCAATTACCCTTTCCAAAGGGTAAACTTTCCCAAACAACCAAATATCAAAGAATTTTTTACGAATGTTTTCCCAACGATTTGACCAATGAACGGTTGGGATCTAGTCAAAATGTCAAAAGAAAACTAGCATTTCTCACGCTTAAGATGCTTTCAATCTAATTTTCATTATCAATCATCAAGTAGAATAGTAAAAATAAAGTAATTAAATTACCTTTAAGATAATTTTTTTATTCTGATGAAGTTTCTATAAAGCCTAGGCTTTAAGAGAACAAAATAAAGTTTTAACTCAAATCCACGTCCGGAAAGCACTTTTGACAAAGAGAATCTCCATGATAGATCCAAAATCAATTTTCAACACCGACAATAAAATTTGAAACTAAAAAAATAGTACAAATCCTTATGATCGTTAACACATATTTTTAGAACGAAATGGACAGTCTAGATAATTTATTACAATATATGCTAGTTTTAGAGCATAAAAGTTTTTATTTTTATTTTTACAACTATAACATTCGAGATAATCAACGTAAAAGTTTACCAATACTTGAATTAATTGCAATTTGACGAGTTATAAATTGAAGTTTAATTCATTTTAATGGCGGTGCATCCATATCAAACCGTCTTCCTTTTTATTATCTCAAACGTCTCAAACCCTGTAATCCATGATTTCATAACATGCTTAGGCGGTTTGGTGGGCCTAGAATTTGTCTTTACTAGATTGCATTTATCGAAGAAGCATTGGATCACTTTTGCAAATGACACGTGTCAACCATGTATACACACAATGTTTCGCTTCCCAATCCATTTAAACTTTTCTCTTTAAATATGGATGTATACGATGCTTTTGAAAGGGAAAAGTCTATATAGACCCGAGGCTCTAAACAATCAAATTAAAATCTACCTAAAAATTTTCATTAGAAGAGGTTGCTTTGATTCTCAAATATCCTGAAATTTATCATCTCGATATCAAGATGCATCGAAATGAGAAAAAAAATGGATTTCAAGTTTTGAAAGTAGTGTATTTGTAATGCATTTTTGGATCGCCAATTTTCAAGTTTTCATAAATCTATCGATCTATATTATTTTTAAAGCTTTAAATTTTATAAATAAAAATAAAAATATATTTTAAGGCTTTCACAAAAATTTTCAGTATTGAAACCACATTTCTGGGCACTATTTGAACCTAGGCTCTAATTTGATTGTTTAGAACCTAGGCCCTATACAAACCGCACCAATGAAGCGAAGCCCTTTTTATTTTTTTTATTCTTTTTTCCACAAAGTCGGACCTTTATTTTAAGGTGAGCCAAATAGTGAAGATATAAAATCCAGAGTCTTATCTAAATAGCGCTGGCAATGGCCTGAGCCTGGCCCGGCCTTCAAAAGCAGGGCTTGGGACATAAATTATGGCCCAAGTATCGGCCTCAGTCCTTCTTTTTTTTTTTTTCCAATTTTATGATTGGCTTGGGCCCACGCTTATGGGGACAAGGCCTGAGCCCGGGCCACGGGCTGGCTGGATCCAAGCCTAGGTTGCTTCTATCCATATATGTAAAAGCTCTCGAAAAAGCATTTATCCAAAAATTCAGTCCCTTAAAAAGACCCAAATCCGGAATTTGAGCCCAACATCCGAAGTTTCAATGTCCATTTTACATTCTTACCTGCATGAATAGATAACATACAAATGGAAAATATGGTTTACCTTCTAAGTCACTATGCCGAGACTTGGCCTTGCACATAGTAGGAAGTCAAGTAGCCCCGAGTTATGTGTACAACTCAGTATTCACTGCATATAAAAAATTCAAAAAAATCTAAAAATTGCATAAAATGTCGAAATATAATACAAACCTTTTGATATGATATGATTTAAATTTAATTGCTGAGTATTTTTTGCGGCAATCACTGTTCTTATATTTTTTAGAGTTTTTAAAAGTGTACCGAACTGTAAATTGTTTTTTTCAATGCTCATCTACTTTTTAAAGCTTGTGTAACATTTTAAAGTTATTTTAAGTTTTATTTTATTTTTCTTATATTTTTTTATTTTTTTAATTTTTTTTTCAAAAACTTTAGAGCCTCTTGACCCGACCCTATACAAGACTCGGCAGAGTCCAGAGGATAGGGCTACGTATCTCTTGTCCGCCAACGCCAAAGGGCAAGTCGCCTGGCCAAGGAGAGTCACGACACGACACGACACGACACGCTGCATGTGGTATATCGCCCAAAGGTAACTGAGTTTAACTGACAAAAACAATAACTATCTTCTTAATCTTGATCCTTTAATTTCTTTTACAATGAGTAAAGTACTTGAAAATTAATCTACTAGAATCGTTAAATATAAAAAATCGTATATGATATCAGTCAAATCCGCGACGGTGGCGACCAAAAATTGTATACAGGATCCGTCAAAGCCAAAAATTTCATGGATATTTCCAACTTGAATGGACCTGGGTCAAAAAATATCTCAAAATGATTTATCTTTTAAAAAAATATATCTCATAATGAAGTTTCAAAGAAAGAAATAGGAAAAGCTATCGAACCTTTAATATCAAATTCAGGTTTGGCCATGAAGGAGCCAAACGCAAAAGCCAAAGGCAAAGGCAAAGCCAAATTAGGGTTTTTCTGAAAAATAGCAAGAGGGGCGGCTGATTTAACGAGGAATAATAGCAATGAAGCTCGACAATATATAGCTTGCGAAGCCGGCGCCTTAGGGCGTTGCTCACGTGCCATCACCGACACTTCGTAGTTCATTCAATGATATTACCGACCCGGTTTCTATCGGGCCGTGCCTGCATATGGATTTTAAGACTTAATTTTTATAGACATGTAATATATGGAGATCATGAATATGAAAAAATAAATAAATTTTAAAAATTAAAAAATAATAATTCTTGCAAGAAAACATTTGGACCTTTAGTTTCCTTTATTTTAGATGGCAAACCTACTTGCATCCATCTTTAAAATAGATGCTTTACACTTTCTGGACCGTATAGGTAGAAATGTGGTCCAACCCGCATGAAACAATTTTCCTAATATTACACCCCTCTCTCTCTCTCTCCCCCCTTTCTTGTCCTCCCCCAGAGTGTGCAAAAACTGGGGGAGAGCCAGTTCAGACCTGTCAGAGTGGTGAGTCCGAGTATCTCCGAGTTGGGTGGCCCCTTCTTAAAAAATAATTTTAAAAAAATTATAAAAAAATCTAAAAATAAGAAATTTATTTGTAATATATTTTTTCCTTTTTTTATCATTTTGGCAAAAGCTGGAAAGCGTTTTGGCCATGAATACTTATTTTTATGTTTTTTTTCTTTCTTTTTAGATTATTTTTTAAATGCCCCCGTTATAAATTGATTTTTCAATTTCTATTTTTTTCACTTATTGTCTAACCTCATTTAGATGCGTTTTATTTAATTTTAAGTCATGGATGCAATTTCCTGCGTATCGAGGTCTTTGCTGGCATTTGTTTAGAATGTAGACTGGTCGTTGCTTGCAAAAAAAAAAAAAATGAATGCGCCTTAGCAGATCGGCTTTCGTGTTAGGTTAGCTTTTAGATATATCTTTTTAGTTTTTGAGGTGTTATTTTTCTATTTCTACCACCTTTTAACCTGGTCGGATGGCCCGAGTTTTTGCACACTCATGAGCCGATTGGCTCTTGTCCAGGTTCTCCTAATTCGACAAAAGGTCCCCTGGTGCCAGTGCAGTGCATCACTCTCAATTTCTTTTTTCCCATTCTCGATGTCTCTTCTCGTATGGTCTCGGTGTCCTAAAATCTTCTCGGATTCAGATTGAGGCGTGGCCATTCTAGTTTTGGGGAACCTGGAATCGCTAGATTCTCACATATTTCTATGTATATTTTTTTTATGGGTGCCGTTTGTATAGGTCCAAGGCTTTAAAAAATCAAAATAAGATGCACTTTCAAATAGTATCAAGAAATACAGTTTCAATATTGAAAATCTTTATAATAGTTTTAAAATACATTTTCATTTTTAATTAAAATTTATCCATTTTTTCTATATCCATATATCTTGATGTCTAGATGATCAATTTGAGGAGGGCTCTAATTTGATTGTTTAGAGCCTCGACCATATAAACTTTTTCCTTTTCTTATCGAGTCTACACAAATATGACTGGGAATTTTCCTAGTCAGATTGGGTGAATTGATATCTGTTACCTGTATACTCAGGGTACTCCAAGTTCTAATCATATATCGCATGCCCAAATATATTCTACTCCCTCGGGAGTATAATGTTCATTTACTCCCTCGGGAAAAAACTCATTTAGGATTGATTTTAGAACATGAAATTTTGGAATATAACCTCTTTAACACATAGATTAACCTCAATAAAAAAAAATTTCCTAATGGCATTGTCTAAGCACTTGAAAAAAAAAAATGTCTCGAGATTGAATAAAAACCGTTCAATTTTTAAAGGATGAGATCTAAGTGCTAGAAAACTCAAATTTCAACTATTTTTCTTTTGAGAATAATCATCTAATGATTCTTAATTACTTCCTAAAATATCATATTGAAAAAAATCCTCCCAAGGAGGTCATCTGACAAAGGGAGTAGAAGTAAACTATGCTCCGAAAGGAATATACTATACGTATCTAGGGAAACACCAAACGGCAAGTTATGTGTCATGCATCTTTACCATCGCTCGTTAGGGAAAGGTTTCTATACTTCCCCTAAAGCATGGAAGATTTATGCTTCTCCTATCATCCAGCCGTCCAATTTTGATCAAGTAAGCCACTTACTGTTTGATCTTAGATCCGACATCTCAGAGTATTTTATTTTTAATTATTTTTATAAAACTTGTATGAATATGAAATTTGGTATGTGCCATCTTCTCATTGGGGCTCACCTATAAAAAATAGTAAAAATAAATTTTCAATAAAATATAATGACCAAAATACCTTTTAAAATTTTTAAAGGTATTTTGGTCTTTTTATTTTATTGGGAATACTTTTTTAATAGTTTTTACAAGTGTGAGTTTAATAGAGGATTGGATGCCCAAACTTTGGTGTGAAAATAATTTATATAAAAAATTAAAAATAAAATAGTGTAGAGACGAGACATTATGATTGGGGTAATATTATCCCTCCATTCATAATGGATGGATAGATAAAGGGAAGCATATAAGTTTTATGTTGTAGGGGAAGCATAGAAAGCTTTCCCTTGCTTTTTTAATGCATAACTATAATATTTCTTTTTCTCCATCTTTATTTCTCTTATTTTACAGGTTATTATAGTATTTCGTTCTGCCAACTTTATTATTTATCCCTCGCTCTCCTAGTACCATCCCAATTTTCTTTGACACAGTTAACTAAGATTTTCATTGAGTAAATGAAACAGAAGTATACTCCGGCTCACAGCCTGAGAAAGTAAAAGGAAAAAGAGAGACAAAAAAGAAAAAAATAAAAAGGGTACAACCTTTTTTTACACAACTAACTGAGATTTCATTGAGCAAAAATGAAAGGGAAGTACAATGAAGCACACCACCTAGAAGAGAAGAAAAAGAAAAGGTTACAGCACAAGGGCACTTTGGCTAGCCCATCCTAATACTATCCCAACTTAATTGCCTCACTTTATCTAGGACTCAATGCGCCGTTGATATTATAGCGTTTACTTCCCCCAAATTTATTTTTTATCCCTCTGTCTTTCCAGGGATATGAGAGGCCGAGATAATAAGAGAATGGAGTTGGGGTTGTGGCAGTAGCATTATTTGTGCTCCAGCTAAAGTTTAGGTTTTTATTCTCACCTAACACATTTAAAATCACTAACGATTTAAAAATGGGTAAGGGTTCATAATCCACTGAATTGCCCAAAAAAAGAGAGACCGAGATAATCGGACTTGTTCCCTTGGAGAATGGAGTTAGCCTGAGTTAAATATATATTTAAAAAATAGAAAAACATTCTAAAAATAAAAATAGAGGGGATTGATATGTGAAACATTTAGGGAAAATTACAACCCCTCCCCCCCTCGCCCCCCAAGTATACTATCCATGCAACTTACCCCCAGCTAACCTTTCCTTTCATTTTTTTCCCGACAACCACCTTTCCTCGCAAATACCTACCCAATCCAAAAAAAAAAGAAAAAAGAGACTAAACTACTCCCCTCTCTCTCCTTGTGGCTTCTACCCATGACTCTCTCCCCAGGTGTTTTACCCACGCAGTCCAGCAATGCGGAGACTTGCTTCGGCAATGAAGAAACACGCTCCAGCAATGCGGAGACTTGCTTCGGCAATGAAGACACACGCTCCACCAATGCAGAGGGTTGCTCCGGTAATGAAGACACACACTCTAACGGTGCAGAGGGTCGCTCCGACAATGAAGACACACAAGCTCCAGCAATGCAAAGGGTCGCTCCGGTAATGAAGGCACTGGCTCCAGCAATGCAGAGGATCGCTCCAGCAATGAAGACACACGCTCCAACAATGCAGAGGGTGGCTCCGGCAATGATGATACGCGCTTCATCAATGTAGAGGGTGGCTCCGACAATGAAGACACGCGCTCCAGTAATGCAGAGGGTCGGTTCGGCAATGAAGACACGCGCTCCAACAATGCAGAGGATCGTTCCGGCAATGAAGACACGTGCTCCAACAATGCAGAGGGCCGCTCCGGCAATGAAGATACACGCTCCAGCAATGCAGAGGGTCACTCCAGCAATGAAGACACGCGCTACAGCAGTGCAAAGGGTCGCTCCGGCAATGAAGACATGCGCTCCAGCAATGCAGAGGATCGCTCAGGCAATGAAGACACGCGCTCCAACAATACAGAGGGTCGCCCCGACAATGAAGACACACGCTTCAGCAATGCAAGGACTGGCTCCGGCAGTACACCTTTTGGAGCCACAGCGTTCCGGCGGTTGAATAGGTCGTTCCGGCAATGAAGACGAGTGCTCCGACAATACAAAAACGCACTCCGACAGTACAAAAATGCACTCCAACAGTACACCTTCTAGAGCCACATCATTCTGGCGGTTGAATTGGTTTTTTTGTATAATAAGGGCATTTCTGTTAAAAAAATAACAACTTTTTACCTTGGGGGTTTTTCGCGAGAAAAGGTGGTTGTGGGGAAAAAAGTGAGAGGAAAGGTTAGCGTGGGGGTAAGTTGCATAGATAATATACTTGGGGGGTTTGTAATTTTCCCAAAGATTTATATATGATTTTGATGTTATTTGCAAAGATTGGTGTGTTATCTTGGCCACATGCCCTATTTTAGTATTTTTATTTTTTGGATTTTTTTAAATATTCTCAATTATAAATCAAAATTTTCATATTTGTATTTATTTTTAAGCTAATTTGGATTTTATAGGATATTTTTGTTTTATTACACATTTACCTCTTTTATTTTATTTTATTTTTTGGCATTTTCCTATTTTTTATTTTTCAAAAGCTTTTGAACCTATACAATACTGGGGGGAATCCACTTTGACTAGCAAGAGTAACTAACCTTAGGCGCCATGGACTTGACTTAAGGCAAGTCTCTATACACGGGTCTCTCCCAATGTTTTAACAAATGGATAGGTGGGACAGATCATCCACGCCTGATCTTGATCCGCCCGTGATCCCCATCCAAATTGGTTGGATCGGCAATCTTGATCATTCTCGAAATGTCTGTATTCGTGATCTAAAACTAAATAAAAAATAAATGAAATAAATAAGAAATAAAAGAGAGGTTTATTGGGGGTGGGATATAAGGTGACCAAGTACAACATTAGATAAACTTAAAAAAATAAAATAATAATAACAATAATAAAAGTGGGAATTTTAGGGAGAGCTGGGTCTAGAAACTAGTTCGATCATGATCGACTCTACATCCAAATCGACGACCCAAATTGAAAATCTCCTGGTTTTGAAACACTTTTAAGCTTTTCTAATACAAAAATTATCTATTCCCAAAATTATTGCCTCTATCCATAAAGGACACTAGTGCTCTCTCTCTCTCTCTCTCCT